TGCCTATTCTTTTTTTTTTTTTTTTTTTTTTTTTTCCTCTTTTCACTCATACTCGTTTTTATGTTTATCTCATTCTTGATTTAGCGTGACCAATGATCGAACATACATGATGGATGAGGGAAATTAAAGGTTATTGTCGTCCGAAACAGTGGCGCACTTATTATAAAATGGGGAGCGGACGATTTTTGGGACTCGCATGGCATTACATAGAGATCTGGTTCATATCTTTCCTTCTTCTTTTATCTTCCTCTTTTTTATTACCCTATTGATCCTCACGCTCCTTTGCTGCCTCCCTCCTTCAACATCTTACCCACCCCCTCATGGTTACTCTCTATTATTATCTCTCATATTCTCTTCCATTGTTATTTTTTCTGTGATTGTCCCGTTGTTTATTTTTTCTCTCTCCCATTCATACCATTTCCGATTTGTACTTCTCTTGTTCTCGTTTGTTGATCACTCTCAAACTACATGATCCTAGCGAATTGAATATCTAGCAGCTACTACTAGCTACCCGAGGTCGCCAGCATCGCCAACACCCGCGCCGCGCTAGTGGAGAGAGAAGTCGTTTTTTTTCGAGTCCTGTCCGTAATCGATAATATGAACCACCCTCATCCTTCATTGGCATCTCTCACTTCTTGATTTGTCCGGTTTTCGAGTTCTTTTGGTCCTGGAAAAAGAAAAGTGGTTTCATGTTCTTCATGCATTACAGTATGTGTGCCTGGGACAATCCTTGACTTGGCAGAGTCGCTGACGATGGCAACACAGGAGGCTCATGGAGAGAGGCCAGACATCTGTTATATGTGTGGTTACCGTGCAACTGGGGCAATTTGAGCCAAGGTGTTGACAACGCAAGGAAATGGATTAATATTGCATGAATCGGGCTGTACAAGGCTTTTTATCTGTGCAGCAGGAAGGGAGACACCAAAACGAAAAAAAAGAAACAAAAAAAAAAAGAGAAATAAAGATACACTGTCTGTTGGCCTGTACGTTTGTGGTGGTTGTGCGGTACGCGATGTCATGTCCTTGTTGCATCCGTTCCTTTCGCATTGGTCTGATATGTATTTTCGTTTTCTTATGATTAATGGCAACGAGTTATTGACCGACGTACATACTGTAATCAAATAGCCATGGAGTGTTGTTTTTCAAAAGAATGGTCACGTGGACGCAGTTGAATGGATCCAGTTCACCTGCATTGCCTGCGTGGACGAATATCAGATCCAAGGCCATATACTTAAGAGACATATATACCTACAGTACTTATAGCAGTGTCATTATCACCTTCCCAATCCATTGTACCTGCCTATCTCGTCACGTCTTATCACCACCTGACCCGATTTTTTGTATTTACCCCGCCTTTTCTTTTTTTTTTTTTTTTTTTTTTTTTTTCTCGTAAACAGGAGACTTCTTTTCTAGCTAAAGCCCTAACACATGAAAACCAACCAATAAATAATTATCATAATAACAGAAAATGGAGTCCTCCGTCAAGAGGTTAAACAGATAAAGTTACGCCGTACGTCGTACAGTTATAGTACATAGTCTATGCATAACCCTGTGCTTCCTGCAGTTGATATCATCATCGCTTGTCATCGCTTTCCCTCGGAGGAAGTCAACGGCAGGGCGAGACAAGACAAAGGAAGGGGAAGGCGGAAATGGGGATCGGTTGGAGATACGATTACGGGGTACGGAGACTTATTCAAATATGTGGGAATATATATCCGGGGGGATTTCTCAGGGTTCGGTCCGTTGTTTCCTTTCGTTTTTTTAACACCTTTTTTTGTCAGTTGTCAAACTTTCGGTTTACAATCTACCACGAAGTATTCCAGACTTGGTTTCTTGACTGTTTACTTTGTTTGAAGAGATATACCACTGCTTTATATAATATTATTTTCTTATTCTGTCCTGCCTACTCTATTTCTTTACTACCTGCACCGTCGATCACCATGGTCTTCGCCGCTGACGTCTCCTACCCGCCAAACCCCATCCCCTCAACCCCCATAACAAATGGCACCAGCGCAGACGCGATCACCGGCGCAGACGCAAACGCAATCACAAACCAAACCACCCTTCCCCCCGGCGACTCCCCCACCCTGATCTTAGCCCCCGCAACCCCCACCGAACGCCTCACCGTCCTCAAACTCAACAGCATAGCCTGGAAAGGCCCCCTCGAAGTCTCCGCCTACATCGCCCGCGAAGACCACCTCAAGCAGCAGCAACTCACGGGGAACCGCCTGACATGCTGGATCCTGGTTGACCGCGTGCAGGAGGCCAATAACCGGACGATTTTTGCCTCGTGCGAGTCGTTTAAGAAGGGTGCTGTTGTGGCGTATGACGGGAAGGTGGAGGAGACGGCGACGCATGGGGTGGGCAGTGTTTATTGTCGGCCGGAGTTTCGGGGGATGGGGTATGCGAAGAGGATGATGGAGGAGTTGGTGGGGGAGTTGGAGACGTGGCAGATGGATAAGGTGAAGGATGGGAGGAAGAAGGTGTTGTTTACAGTGTTGTGGTCAGATATTGGGAAGGGGTTTTATAGGCAGTTTGGGTGGGAGCCGTTTGACTCGGCGCATGTTGAGTTGGTGCCCATTGATGAGAGGGAGTTTAAGCGCGAGTTGCCTGGGGTCGATTTGCCAGGGACTAGGGGTTTGACGGCGAAGGAGATCGATAACGCTATGTGCAGCGAGGAGGTGGTCAAGAAAGAGAGGGAGTTCCTGCGTGCTGCGTCTCTCAAGTCTCCTGGCGCAAAGGTCGCTGTCAACCCTGACTTTGAGCATTTCACGTGGCACTGGGCTCGTGAGGAGTTTTATGCCGAACGACTTCGCCCAGAGAAGGGCGCTCCGGTGATCAAAGGTGTTGGCCACGATGGCGCTGGTGTGTATTGCGCCTGGAACCGGAACTTTGGCGAAACACCCAAGGAGAACACTCTTTTCATCCTGCGATGGGTTTACGACGAACCAACGACCCCAGCGCAGACGGAGGCCACCATCGAAGCTATGGCGGCAATCCTACGACGTGCCCAGCGCGAGGCGCATGAGTGGGGCATGGCGAGGGTTGAGTTCTGGAATCCGGCTCCGTTGATGCAAAAGGCTGTTTCCTTGTTGGATCCAACTGCTGAGGTTATACATCGCGAGAAGAGCAGCATCGCTAGTTTGAGATGGATTGGTGGTAAACAGGGATTGGGCGATGATGTTGAGTGGTTCTGGAATGAGAAGTATGCTTGGTGTTGAGCTGGTCGTTTTTTTATGCATAGCCGTTATTATTAGATTATCGAGAGAAGCTCGAATTGCATGATGTTATGTGTTCGTTGGCTTAACGCCGTCGCTGGTTCTTGAACAGTTCATGCCAGTTCCTGGACTTCTTGGCCGTAGTAGCAGCGCTAGCATCTGTCGATAGGTTCTTCTTCAACTTTTGTCGATCGCCTTCGTGCACGAAACAGATCGACGTCGGATCAGGGAGCTTGTACGATCCCTCCTACGCCAGTTAGCAATGGTAGCACGGAAAAGTTGGTAGAACGTACAGGCAACTTGGAAAGCGCAACTTCGCTCCTCCACGACTCCGGAAGATGATCTTTCCAGGCATTGAGAAACTCGCTGCGTCCGAGGGCAGATGTCACAGTGGGCGCTTTGGCCTCTAGATACGTCTCGCCGATCCATTGTATACAACGGGGTTTCTCAATGCTCGTCCCTGTTCCTTGTCAGTTACTTTAGATCTCTCCAGAAACAAGATAACTCACATCTAGTAGCCTCCCCAGGAGCAGTAGAATCCTCACAAACCCTCCTGACAACTGCCCCGAACAAACCCCGCGGGAATGGTTCCTCGCCATTATCATCGAGGACCGATTTCCATAGATCATTCACCAGGAATTGTTTCTCCAGGTTGATCCCCTGCAACACCGCACCCTCCACGACTCCCTTCCAGACATCAACTTTGACCATCGCAGAAGGTCGCCAGCAATTCACACCAGGTACGTTTGCGTTGGCATTAGAGCGCATGACGAACGCACAAAGATCCACCCAGCCCTGTTCACACTGTGCCTTGGAGACGGGAATATCCGCGAAAAGCGCATTCATCGCATTTCTCGCGTACTCGTCCTCATCATCATCAACCATATCCACATCCACATTCCCCCTCCCCTCATCCCGCGAATAAAAACCCAGTGTCTTCACCAAAAACGGAACCGCAGAAAACCCCTCCTTCGGCATAAACAGTTCCAGCGTCGAGCCGCATTTCGCAATGGATGTCATTGTCTCCGTGTTCAGGTTCATGTCCATGTCCATATCATCGTCGCCGTTGTTATCGTCTTCGTTCGCATTTTCTACAACAGCGGCATTGGTACTTGGGCGCAGGATATGTAGCGAATTCGAAGACTGGACTTGTCGGACTTGGTAGGTTTTATCGGGTGTGCAGAGGTGGACGTAGTCGCGGGCTTCGTCGGATTCGGATTGGGATTGCGAATACGTTTCGGATTGCGATTGTGAGGGAGGGGGCGATTTTAGTTCGAGTCTTTATTATTATCAGATGGTTAGTTCCGGAAGAAAAAAAAAAGTGCAGGGTGGGGGACGTACGTTGGTGCTTCATTCGAGGAGACCAATTCGACTAGTTCCGGGGAGAGTTCGAGGAGTTTGAAGCCTTGCTGGGGGGTGGTGTGTGTGAAGGGGATGCTTCGGGCTGCTTGGGTGGACATTTTCAACGTTGGTATCTTTATGCGCGAAAGGGTAGAATTCTGGTCTGGAGATGAAAGAATTGACATTGACGCGGTGACGCGCCGGTGGATCGGGATGCACGGACCACTGCTTATATACGGGCAGATTTGAGATTTGGGTGTATGGATAACTTCAGATTTCCATTCCGTTTGAACAATGACTCTAGTTATACAAGGATAAGTAAGAATATATATAGTGAAATAATGCCTTGAACCTTGACACAGTAACACCAGACGAAACACAATAACAATGATCTATCCCTATAGGAACATAACTCATAACCATAGAATTATTCATAGGACATCGACAATGAAACGAGCTCAGATGAAGACGTCTAACCTGCTGGAGCATCTTTGCCCCGGATTAGTCGCTCACTGCTTTTTAGCACCAGTGCTCTCCTTCACCGGGCTAGCAGCAGGACCCTCTTCAGAACCCTTCTGAGCCTCAACATTATTCGAATTCGAGTCCTGCTTTTTCTCCTTTATCACCGCATCTTGGACAGCCGCGCCGTCAGCTTCCCATTGCGACTTGGAATCCTGGAATATCGCGTTCACACGCTCGTTTTGTCTAGCCTCTTCTTCCTTTTCTTTCTCGAGCTGTTCTTGCTTGAGGGTCATTTCTTCCATGTGTTTGAGGTCGTCGACGCTTGGTTCGTACAGATGCCAGATGGTGTAGTGCGGGAGTCCGACGACTGAGAAGCCCATTTGGCGGGCCATCTAACCGAGTTAGCATCATGATGAGTTGACGAATTGGAACGAGCCTACCTTGCCAAATGCTTCTGTCTCGGCATGTTTCTCGAAGCTAAATGCCGGGAAATGGGCACCCGCGCGGAATACCCTTGCCTTGGCCAGGATACTGACACCGCCAATGCCATCGAGGTCCATCTCCATTTCAGGGTCGCCAAAAGGGTCGCGCAGATAGGCGAGGTGAGGCCGCCATGTGGCATACTCGGCATATCCCTCCACAATGACTGCATCCTCATCTAACGACTCAGCCAGAGCCAGCGCCGTCTCCGATTCCTGCCAGGAATTCAAATCATACGGCTGCTCTCCGCCCAGCCAGTCAGGCAGAGGTCGCCAAACATCTGACATATTATTAGTCTCCCACTCAAGAACGGAACAAGTCACCGGAGACTTACTAGGAACAATAACATCCTTATCATGCCTCATAAGATCCTCAATAATCGTAGCCGGCGCAGTCTCCACATCCGCATCCCTCCAGTAAACCCAGCTATGCGTCGGCCGCAAAGTAGCAGTCAACAACCAATTCCTCGCCTGCCCCATCCTCTTCCTCCTCCCAGCCTGTGCGGCAAACCCATGTCGACTCTCAAAGTCCTGCGTCACCAGCTGTCCGAAATCCTTCTGAATCACCGAGATCTCACCAAACGTCATCCCCGGATCCGGATCTGTCTGTATTTCCTCCAACATCTTCGACAACATATCAAGTGTCCCGTCTTTCGAATCCGAAACCAGAAACGCCAGGTCGATTAGGTTATGCGGGTAGGTGAAATTTCGCAGATGCGAGAAGAACATGGGCAGGTGCGCAGTGGCGTCTCTGAGTGGCGTGCACATCAGCACCCGCTCCCCATGCTCCCAACCACTTCCCGATCCCTGCACCGCAGAAAGATCATAGTGTCGAACGGTCTCGAGCTGAAAGACTTCGCCGGAGGAGAGGAGGCCAAGTGTTAATGTGGGGAGGATCGCGGCTCGCCATGAGGGAAATATCAGGATAGATATGAACAGGGATATGCCGCCGAGGAGGATGAGTCGGTTGATTAGCTGTCTTCGTCGTCGCAGGGCTGTTTGTGGACGTGGTTGAAATCTATTAAGCAGCAAGAACCGGTCAGTCGGGTTATTGCCAAGGATTGGTAGAATGATCTGCAACGCTTACCGGTAGCTGCTCTGGCCGCGGGGATAGGCTGGGTAGCCGCTCATCAAGGCCTTGTGCCTGTCCATGTCGCTGGCGGGGGCATGCGTCTAGTAGGAGTAAAGCGGAAGGAGAGAAATAGGAGTAACGAAGAGCCACCAGAGGTCAGGGTCTCCAGATCCGATCCAGGGATCCTGGAGGGTGGCCTCGTCCCGGTGCGGATTAAGCGAACGACTGAAGAATCTTGAGGATATCAGAATTCAAGTGGAATGGATAAGAAGTTTAGAGATAAAGAAGCTCTTATATATAGGCCGATCAATCGTAGGTAGAGCTAGTCGCAGTCGGTGTTGAAGTCCGAAGAAGTCGCAGGTGATGTTTTCGCCGCTTTTGGCGGAGGCGGTCCGAAGTATCACTGCGACAGTTGCACTGGAGGCACTCTGGAGTTTCAGCATAGAAACGGGAAGGAATAACATTTTACTTTGTGAAATAGAAACGAAGGGATATTAAGAATTGAAAGTCAAGTTACATGCTTGTCCTAAGCTGCTTTTTACACTAAAAGTGAAATGCGATCCATTTCTCGTATAACATTCAACACGTAAGATATTTAATAACCAGTTCTACCGAACAGCAGCATTCTTCAAGGTCTTAGCTTTGCAAAGACCACCGGACGCAGTGAGCAGCTTGCCCAGAGCCGGCTTACCCTCCTGGCCCTGCACAACCGGCACAGCGCTGCTGTCAAACGCAACCTCCAAGGTCTCCATAGTCGTAAATCCAGGCTGGAAAGTCTCCCACACCTTCTTCTTGGGGTTCAGTACCTTCTCCGGCTCGCCTTCACTCCAGCCATCAAAGGTAATGCGCTCACCAGCCGGTGCGTCCTGAGGCGGGCTGACCAACTCGACGGGACCGGCGTGCGAGTCCTCACCCTCAGCGACGCGGGGAGATGCGGCGAGGACCATGGCGCAGGACTTGATGCCACGCATAGTCACGGGCTTGAGGTTACAAATGGCGACGATCTTGCGGTTTTGCATCTCCTCCAGGGGAACCAGGCCGTTCAGACCGGAGCACACAGTCCGCACGGTCTTGCCTGTGGCTTCGTCCAACGAGGTGTTCTCGGTGCCGGGGGCGTCACCGCAGTCGATGGTCGAGACGAAGAGCGAGTCGGCGTTGGGGTGGTTAACAGCGCGCAGGATGTGACCGATGCGCAGGTCAATAATGGAAGGCGACGGCGGGGCAGCAGGTGCAGGAGCAGCCTTGGCCGGCTTGGGCTTCTTCTCCTTCTTGTCCTTCTTTTCCTTCTTGCCTCCAGCGGCCTCTTCGCCCTTGGCCTGCTCAGGCTTGCCCTGTCCGACAACAACAGTCTTCGCCTCGCCAGCGGCAGCAGGGTTCTGGGCAGCAGCCTTCTCCTTCTTCTTCCGCTCCTTCTCCTCCTTGGGGTCGACGGGCTTGGGGAAGAAGCGCACATCATCCAAGTCAATGCCAACCTTCTCCTCATCGGGGATCTGCAATCCAAACAGGCGGCTATTCTGCACGAAATCCACATGACGCACAATGTGGTGGTATCCTTTCTCACCCGTGCGCTCCTCGGGGGTCCATTTCTCCACCACGGGTCCCAGAAGGGCATACGCGGAGATATCAGCGACAGAGGGCTTGGTACCGAGCAGGGTCGTTCGCGAGGCCAGGTGCCCGTTCAGTTGCGAGAGGATCTGCGAAATAGCTTCCTTGTCATCACGGGTGAGGGCGCCCTGGAGGCCCGAGATTGTCGTCAGCCATTGCTTGATATCGGCGTGCTCGGAGGTGGAAAATTCGGTTTGCGGGAAGATCTTGGGGCTCGCGTGCAGGAGGTCGGGCTCTGTGGCATCAGGCGAGATGGCGGCGGGGTAGGACCGGTAGAGGAGGGAGAGGAGGGAGGTCTCGGGGGCTGAGTTGATGGCCATGTTTGCGAATGAGCGGGTTGGGAGGTTGCTGCGAAACGCTGGCGATGTGTTAAGCAAGGAAGACGGGAGACGAGGGGCAGTTGCGGTGTTGCTGCGGGATCGAGCGAATCGCGGGGTTGTTGTTCGGACGGCTGCCCGGCGTCCAAGAATCACGACTGGCTTAGAGAGCGTTTTGGGCTATAAAGAGATCCCGTAAATAATGGGATCTCAAGAGATAAGATATTAAAATTGTGGAATAGATATGGGCTTTTCCAACACTGGTACAAGCAAACAATTCCCTTGGGGCGCTTTTTTTCTGCGGGCGGTCAAGGATTTTTTTTTTTTTTTTTTTTCCCTCCTTAGGGTTGCGGGGATGAGTCATTCAGTAACTAGTAACTACATAACTAACTAACTAGTTAACTTAGTTAACTAACTAGTTAGTATATTTGCATAGACAGTGCTACAGGAAATTGATCATGCGTGTATTCGTGCTATGTTTTTTTTTTTTTTTTTGTCTCTCGCTTGCAGTCAATGGATATAGAATAAAATGCACAACGCCAGAAGTATCCAACAATCCCCCCGGAATTTGACTACTCTTCCCATACAGGAGACGCGAATGCAACGGATGGCCCTCTCTTGTCAAAGACAACAAACATAGACTTCATAAACACATCCCCAAGGATCTGCAATGAGGTATCCTGGTTAGACTGGATACCGCCGTAACACACTAGAATGAGATTAGATGTTAGTCAATGTTTAATTATATCAAAGGAGCTGCAGTACTTACGGTCTTCACTAGTCGTGCTATTCTGGCCCACGCCAGCAAAGTTAATCAATGAACCCGGAACCGTCGCCATATAGCTATTCCCAACCGCAACCGAGAAGTTTGGAAGTTCCGAGCTGCAAGGGTAGATCCATCCCCCAGCACTGTTGGCAAACACTGCGCGATCAACCTGAGCGTAGTAAGCGGCAGCCACCTCGGGACTCATCAGCATCAGCGATGTGCCAGAGTCGACAATTGATGTAGGCGCAGTAGAGACTTGTTCCAGAGGTCCGTTTCCAACTGAGAAGAATTTGGAGTCGAATTGCCAGAAACCGGCGGAGGGATCAACGGTCACGTTGATTAGCTGGCCCGAGTACTTGCTGGGGTCGATGGTTCCAAACTCGTATTCACCCTGACCATCACTTTTAAGCAGGGCAGTAAAAAGAGGCTCATCCAAGCTGTCGGCGACGTTGTCAAAGAAGGTTTTCTGGGGCTCGGGCTGGACCATGTTGAGGACTGAGAATCCCAGTCCCACCAGGCCGTTCGAATAAGTGTCCCCTACGAAGTAACTGGAGATTTCGGTTGGTAAGCCGACTGCTTGCCCCGTGGCCGTGGCGCCGCCAATGTCAACTGTATCTTGTCCCACACCGCCGTATGCATATGAGGAGTCACCGTAGGTGATGTTGAAGGTGTAATCCTTCATTTCTTTGTAAGTGGATGATTTCGAAGGGTCATAGGTGGTGTGTCCTTTCGTCTGATCGGATGGAAGCTCTGTGTTCATCACCCAGCTGTGTCAAATTCGTTAGCCATCCATCCTATACGCAGTCAAAGAAACTCAATTGAACCCTACAAGTCTGCTGAGCCAGTATCAAAATTCATGACAATCGTCTGTCCACCAATTGTAACCGGCGAGACAAACTGAGCATCTCCCTGCACAGACACAGCACTGACCTCTCCGGTTTGGTCGTCATCTGCGTTGCTTTGGCTGTTACCGGAGCTCAAGGGCTTAAAATCCAACAGATCATCAACACCCAAGTCCACCGCCGCAATCCCATACTTCTTGTACGATCTCTGCAGAGCAGTAGCACCGTCCAGAACGGTAGCTCCTTGGCGCACTCGCCCGATTTTGAAGGACCTGCCTTGTAGTTGCGAGCGAGTTGCAGTTGGTGTGGGTGCAGAGAGCGCCTCACAGCTAAAAAGCAGGGCAAGCACAAAGGACTGTAGGAGCTGCATTGTATCAGTCCCGATATTTCTCCAAATATACAAGCAAAAAGGAAAGGTAATAAAAGAGCTCAAAAAAAAAAAAAAAAAAAAAAAAAAAAAAAAAAAAAAAAAAAAAAAAAAAAAAAAAAAACCAGTCTTTCTTTCCAGAAGAAAGGGAACTATATCAAAATCAACGAGGTCCAGTCCAGACTAGGACACTCGTGTATATCAAAAGGTGCGAAGAGAATGTAAAGAGGCGACCAAGCACCTTATCAAGAAATGAATGAGAAAAAAGAAGAAAGAGAAGAGTAAATCAAAGCATTGTATGGATAGAATGAGCGGAAGAAAAGACAAAAAGACTGGAAGTTAGCCACAATGGAGACAAACCCCTATTGAGCACAAACCAAGCAATATACCTGGTTAATATACGGTATAATATAAGTATAGTAAGCCAAAGCCACTTAATAGAATGGGGATATCTTGTTGCTCCTTCAATAAGAATTGCTTTGCACAGTGTGTAGCAAAACGGCCCACCTTGGCCTCCTCAGATCCGCCAAGTTAGAGAAGACAGATCCAACAAGCCCCGACTGTCTGCCAGAGAAAAGAAACGGTATTCATCTTTCTGATACAGAGGATTGTCGCTGATGCCTGTTGCAGAGGTTGAAACTATAGCAATGACAGCCGCCGGGCGTCGCAGACGGCGTTAACGAACGGAAATCAGAAGCTATGGCGCCAATCAGGGTGGTTTGGGGCTATACTGGTGAAACAGTCCCAGTCTCGGCGCTGCAACAGCTCGACTGACATGTTTGAGGAGGAGAGTTGACGATGGCGGGACAATTAGATGATAGGGGCATTGTTTCAGATTCAGAACAAGCGGTAGATCATGATTCGTGCACAAATAATGCACAAGTCATAAATATAGCATACTGTAGAAATACATGATTTATGTTTAAATGACAGTCTATTCCAAAGTCAACGTTGAATAAATCTTGCTAAGATAGCAACTCCTCTGCTAGACGCCGCAATGCTTCCATAAGGGGCAGATTGCGGGAGGTGATCGACAGGTCCATATAGCGGCCGTTGGACAGTGCAGTGGACGGACTCTTGGTTTCATTTGAACTTGGATAATTCCAGTTGCATGTCCATTCACTCGTAGCAGTAATAATCGCTGGTATCAGAAATGTGTTCCATGTCCAAAAACGCCAGAATCGGAAAACCGGCAAAAGAAAAACGCCTTGAGATGCATCCAAGAAAACCGAAAAAATGAAACGATAACGGCTTCATCATTCAACCATATCTTCAGGCAGGACCTGATCTGGGTCCTCTCCGATCAGCTGACCGACCGAGCGCACGACCTGTTTGATCGCCTGCGACGCCGGACTATCCGGGAAATTGTCCACAAAGCTCTCGCCATAATCACAGGCCATGCCAACCCGGGGGTCCAAAGGAACCGCCCCCAAAAAGGGAATGCCCATCTTCGTTGCGAGTCGTCGACCGCCTCCGGTAGTAGCTCGGTAAATCTGAGACTCGTGGGTGCACTTGGGGCAAACGAATCCCGACATATTCTCTACCAAGCCCAGAACACGGATGCCGGCTTTGCGACAGAAGTCAATTTCTTTGCGGACATCCAGCAGTGATACCTCCTGGGGAGTGGTCACCACCACGGCCCCATCAACACCGGACTCTTTCAAGAGCGAATTCACCGACAGATGCTCGTCTGAAGTGCCTGGAGGCGTATCCACAATCAGATAATCCAACTCGCCCCAGTCCACATCCTTCAGGAACTGTTTGATAAGCCCGTTCTTCTTAGGACCTCTCCAAATGACCGCGTCATCCCGGTTAGGCAGCATGAACTGCACACTCATGGCTCCCAGGTTATCCGTTACCCAAACTGGGCTCCAACCCGCGTTGCTGACATGAATCGTTTCCGCCTCAACGCCCATCATCTTGGGAACTGACGGTCCACAGATGTCGGTATCCATAATTCCTACAGTCGAGTCGGGATTTGCCGCAAAAGCATGGGCCAAGAGGGAAGAAAAGGTCGACTTTCCGACACCGCCTTTACCAGAAAGGACTAGGATTTTGTGTCGGATTTGCGAAAGACGTTCGGCGATGATTGGGATATCTGGATCGGGGCCTTTGGGCGCGGAAGCACAAATGGATTGATTAGGGCAGCCGGCGCAGGCATCTCCTTGACCTGCCTTTTCGGACTCGGGGCCTGGACAATGTTCTGCTCTGTGTTAGCAGTCTCACTAGAAACTATTGCCAAGCGACATACCTGGTTCGGGAGCCACCAGATTCGGCGCCATCTTTGACGGCGCTGCGAAGTATTCAGCCGTTGGCTCCTCGAATGAGGGTGCCATTTTGTTGACTCTTCTGCTGTTAATCAAATAAGACACGGGTTTGATAGAAGTAACAAAGAAAGACCTCAATAGCTACTGTCGACGGATTTGATAGACGATGGCGAAGAGTGCTTGATAAGCATCACGCCGCATTTTTCGGGATGACAAAAAGTCCGGTGGCGATTGGCGGGGACGAGAGCGGTGTCGGAGGCCGCGATAAGATACCAGATGTCTGCACTTTATGCGCAAGTGCTACTCCGTACATTCTACGTTACTCTGCTATGCCGGGCCATTCTAATGATGCAGCTGCTATGACCACCGTTAATGGCGCCTCAATGCACATGTATTATCATTCGCAGGAAATGCTGTGCGACGGACCAGGGTGTATTCCTTGCATCCGTGGTGCAATGGCGCTAGACTAAGGTAGTTGAGCATGTGCATTGTTCCCTTGTTGAAAAAAATTGAATAATGTTATTCCGGCACTGATATTCCCATTAATATTCCCATTAATATTCCCATTATTAGCATGGTTTCTGGCTGTCCACATAAGCTCCGGGCTCTGATACCAGAATCCTGATGAAGATCCCGTGATATCACGACTGGGGCTGTGGCCCCAACGCAACCAGTTTCCCTCGTTCTGGCCGTGTGCTACTCGTGTGCCTCTTCGGAATCAAGTTCCTGGCATGTGCCTGCATCGAGGGGTATTGTCGAGTTAGGGCCTGGATCAGTTGATACCAAGGCCTTTATTGTTTACTTCTACAAAGTACACAGAGAAGTATAATGTCATTCTTCTACTAGTATTTCACCTCTACACAATACGGCGTAGACAGTACAGAGTACTCGAGAATTAAGTACTGATGTCACCGGCTTCTCTTCCAGCCAATGCCGGAGAATGCCATCATAACTCTTCTCGGAATGGGTATCAGGCCCCCCTCCCTGATGCATCTTCAATTGA